CCTGAAAAACCTTGGTTAACTGAAGATAATAAACATTTGCTTTTTGATTATGTTCATCTGTTGAAAAATATTTGCAATTTGTGGCTGACAGAAAAAACAGGAGAACTAAACTTTGATGATGATTGAGTAAGTCCAGTTGCAAAATGAACACATCTTAAACAGTTATATCATTTTGAATCTGAAAGACTAGTCAAACTTTCAGATTTAAATGAAATTTCCATTGCTCCAAAGCCAATAGAAAGACAACGGGTTTCTACTTGCCTCAGAGTGTTTTCTGAAAAACATATAATGCACTTCTCACTCAGTCTGAAATAAGTGCAGGTAAGAATGATACTGCCCTCTTCATAAACAAGGTTTTGATATGGTGGAAAATTTTAAATGTTAAATGCCTTCAAATTGATAAATTACATAATGATCCTCTACAAGCTGAAATCAAATCTCCAAATGACACTCGACTTGATTTTATCATTGAATTTGGTAAAATGGCTCTTAATATGGCTGGCAGTCAAGGTAATCGTAAAAAACAATTATCCCAAAACACTGCTACTGCTATACATCATATTTGCAATGGAATTGTTAGTCTGTCGACATCTTTTAGCTACAAGTCATAAATATGTACTACTTGGGCAATTTTCAACTGATCCATTAGAAAAAGAATTTGGTAAATGTTCAACAATGTATTGAAAAGCTGCATATTAAGCAGACCTTTACTTTTTAATCAAAATGTAAATATTGATGAATTTGATGTTAATCCAGGTCACCAGTGTACATCTTGTGATTATAAACCTTGTGAGGAAGGTTCAGAAATATTTGACAATCTGGAAAATTTAGAACCATCTCTTTCCAATGAAATAAAAATGGCTCTTGTGTACATAGCTGGATATATTACAAGAAATGATAATCAACCCAGTGAATGTGAAACCCATTTTTATTATGAAAAGTATGGAAAATATACCAATTTAATTGACCGTGGAAAACTAAAAAGTTCCTTCTGACCACACTTGTCAATGGTTATTTTTGTTTCATCCTTTTCCATACAATAAAGGAAAAGGTTTGCTATGAATCATTAAGTAACATTTTTATGCTTATTTCTGAGTTTCATTTTTTTTCAACATGGAGAAAAGCATGCTTCTATTTTTGCAAATATAGTTTTGAAAATTTTTTGCAAACATGGAACACCTAGATCAGAAAAAGAACCAGTTCTAAAAGTTTTGAAACTTTCCTAGAATGATTTTGTTTTATTTGTCTATATTTCTGTGATGATTGATTGTTATATACACACTTCATTTTTGATGTCTTCCAGCCTTCTTGGGTTCTGTTTGTCAAACCCAGTAACTGTAATGTAAATTTAAACCAAAGTCTTTATTCACTCACAGGGAATAGATTGAATAAAGGATTCAGTGACACTTGTAAATAATATAAATTTCTGGTTCAATATATCTTTCACCAGAAATCATAATTACCCCTTTGTGTTGTTTAATAATTATCAGTGTTCATAGCAAAAATATATATTTTCATTTATTTATCTTTCAACACATCCTATTATCCTCAGGTGTGAATAAGAATGTTATTCTAAGTATTTCATAAAGTGGTTGACTTCATTTTCTTCTAAAATTTCTGAAAATCCTACATTTTTCAATAGGCCTCCAGTTCTGGCTCTCAGTTGCACCATGACTTGGCCTGGAGTATAGAACGCCATGGTACCAACCAAAAACCGGTGTGGGGTTTTCGGTAAATTTTGATTTCTAACAAGAAATCTCTTTGTCAGGCCAGGAAAATTGATTACTTTCCATTTTTGGAAAATTAATCACTTTCCATTTTGGGGGGATCTCTTCGTCTGTGAGGAGAGGTCGGAGAAGAGCTATCCTCCTAAACTCCCCCTCTCTCACATTGATACCTCATACCAATCCCTTCAGTGGGCGTTAATAACTTCACCATCCTTCTCATCAAATTACCTCCGCCTATCACCATTGCTACCACTCGACCAATGGTGTCCTGGCCGTGCGGGTGTGACTAAGCTGGCCTCATTAAAATTATAACCCAGAATTTTTGTTTACAAAATTCTTTTTTCCCATTGGCCAAAATTTTTACAAATCATACATTGACACTTAAAATTTCTCAGATCTTTTGGTCACTCAGAGTCTTCTTAACCAGCACCCTTTACAAATTCCATCAATCACTTGTCAAAGTCTGCCATCTGGTCCCTTCATGAAATTAGCTTTTTATGGAACCCTTGGCTTCTTGAGAAATTAAATTTCTTATCTCCCAAATCGCACTTCTTCTGCAATATTTTTTCTCATGCCAAAATTTTATAATCACCATATTGCTACTCAACGTGTTGGCACCTGAAGACGACACTTTGGAAAAGTAAATAATAACAATTCTCTCCACCCCGTATCGGAATAAATATTTTCCCATGCCAAAATTTCCACAATTACCATATGGCCCTGCCTTGCCAGCACTTAAAAAAATGATATCTTGGGAAAATAATTTGTATTGATTCTCTTTACCCCGTATCGGCAAATCATTTTGGAATAGCCTCTCATGCCGAAATTTTTATAATCAGCATATGGCCTGCGCGATATCTCAACGCTTTGCTTTTTTTCTGAATCTCGTGTTTTCTTGGCAAGCATTTTTTTTTGCAACAACATTAATCAACTGTCAAAAAGCTTGCATATGGCTTTTCTGCGAGTCTACTGTCTATGCCAAATTACAGGTCTTTGAGAAAGTAACTTGATTTTATTCTTAAGTAAAAAAAAAAAAAAAAAAAAAAAATTAAAATATTGGGCTATCTTCTTTTCCATTCTCGGTATTTTCTTGTTTTAATTCCTATGGTTAATTAGTTAGCCAATTACCATAGCTAAATAGTGTCACATAATTATTATCAACAAGATGTTCACTTTGATTCATTCAGCTGTTAAAAGGAGTTGAAGGTGTTACTAGGTTTCTAGTTTGTTTAGACAATAGGTTTTAGTTATTTGCAAACTTTGTGACAGACTTTTGCAAACAACTATAGAAAGATAATTGTATAGTTCTAATTTTGTAGCATTTTCTGCTTTTATTTCTTTTTCTTCTGTTACTTCCTTTTCATTCAGCTTCTTTCTTTTCATCATAGTTGGCTTTTAGTTTTTCTTTTGTTCAGATCCCAGAACCGGCTTACATCTTCCTTGTGAATGCGAAAGCTCTTCTGCTTTCTTTTCTTCTTACTTCTGATCATAGCAACTGCCAACACCCTTCTGTCAGTCAGGCAAACCAGACTTCTTAAATAGCCACATATCACCCTTGATTTGAATCAGAAATTTGGTAGTTTGGAGTCATAACTTTCCTTATTGGTTCACACACAGTATGTATCTTTTTAAACCATGCCTGTTTGAAAACTCTAGGATGGGTTCCCAGGCCATCAGACTTTTGTTTTTTCTATAAACTGTCCAGTTTCCTTTTGATGGTTCTTTTGCAACATCATTTTGAGTCTCACATATACAAAGTTTTACACATCAAATTTTATTCAAGCCATATTTTTTACTAACCATGTGACTTCATTATATCCGGTTTTTTATTTAAAGAATATTGTTGCATTCTGTGTTGTTTCTGGGTCCTCACACCAATACATAAAATGATATTGATGAAAAGGATGATTTCTTTTTCTTATTTGTTTTTATTAGAAGAGGGGGCAGGTGTGACAGCTTGGAATCTAACCTAAGAGGCAGTGGGAGGGATGATGCCATGTCACATTGGCACAGCATCCCTCTATGGGTGGTCTTAGCTGGGTCTCTCAACTTGAGTGTGGGAAGTGTATTGAAACGCTTTGAAATTCTTGCACTCCTCTGTTGAATTAGTGTCATTTTGGACTTATATCTAAAACCCAAACAAAAGCAATCCATCAATGTCAGAGTACCATGCCCATGAAGCTCTCTACCGGTCTTGGCTTCCACATCCTGTAACAATATGCATTGTTAACTTTCTTCTTTTAATAAATGTTTTTTAAACACTTCCCTCTACCAGAAAATAAGAATGGCAACTATAGTAAATTAAAAATTTATTGGTAATTTTTTAACGTTTCCTCAGCAAGCATCTTTCTAAATTTTAATAAGATATTAGTATGCTTAAAATCTTTTAAATTCTTAAGATTACTAGATAGTTAAAAGAAACATTGTATAAAAAAGATGTTTACATTGTATTCTTTATGTAATTTTATTTCAATTATATCCTCCTTACTTAAATTTCCCATGCATCTAGCTGTCAATACATCATTCAACATGCCAAAAAGGCACCCAACTCTGTGTTAAATGTTTTTCTGTGATATTTTAAACAAAAAGTGATATTTGTTTCAATTAAGATTAATTGAACTTTAAATCTGCTAATTTTTATCAAATAACGTTTCAGAAAAGTGTATTTTATTTTCTAATAAAGAGAATTATATGTTGACAGATTTGTCAATATGGATGATTTCATATCTTTTACTCATAATCAGAAAACAAAATGATTCCAATCAATTTAAATTCAGTTTGAAATGCAGCAGGATATTTTACTTATTAAAATATTAAATTTAATCTTTTATCTTGAAATTAAAACTAAAAAGTTTCAAGAAAGATTTTTTATTTTTTTAAAAATGCATTTTAAACCTTAGGTATTGAGGTATTGCTTTTTTCTTTTTTAAGATGTCAATAATTATCCATTTACCAAGGTATTTGACCTACTTATAACTACAAATTTTACTGGCCATAATTATACCTTTTTAGCAGAAGTTTTGATCTGAGGCTTTCATGAAATTAGCAAAATGTGTAAGATTGATATTACTAACTTACCATTAGAATAAGATTAGTTGTAGAGAGCTGTGACTGCTTGTATCATGAAAGGACATGGCAGATTAAAAAACAAAACAAAAAAAAACTTGCCATTTTTAATAGAACTTTTGGGCAAACTTTAGATAGAAAGAACTGATGATATTATTTTAGTTTTAACTTTAACTAATTTTTTTATTCATTTTTTTATTTTTAAAGGTAGATGAAGAATGCCACTAGACACTTTTATCTGTGGCCAGTGTGAAGAGAACTTCAATGACCTTCAACTTTTCATTATTCACAAAAAAGAATGCATTCCTATCACCACTTCAGCAGCTCCGATGGTGGCTGAAACATCTTCAACACCATCCCTTGCAACAGAAGAAACGGCTGTCCAGATTCCTGATGCCTTGGAATATACAGCAGGTAAATTTAGTTGTTTACCTGAACTTAGTGCTTAAAAATTTACTTTTATTTCTTGAAATTTGTATAATTTGGAGAGTGAGGCATGATTAAATGTCACTGGAGTTGTGAACTAAAGTTTTTTCTTTTCTTTTTTTACTATACTTGAATTCATTCTCATTTTTACTTGTATATTTATTGGAACTTTTAACTCTAAAAATGAAAAAGTCAAAGAAAGTTATTGGTATATTCAGTATCTAGAAGTCTTTTATAAGATGCACCTGAAAATAAAAAAAAAAATATCACAATATTATGCTATATTCAATGTGTTGTCATTATAGATATGAAGTCAACAGTGAGTAATTGATTTAACAATCAAGATATATGATTGGTCTTATTAATATTTCTGTGTTTATTTACATCATCCTGAGAACAACATGAATAACTTTTGCTACCTATTTTTGGAGGAAATACATAGAAAATAAATAGAATCAAATGCAGTAAAGATTATGATAAGGAAATAAATTTGATTAGAAAGCCCAGAAAATGCACAAGTGCATTAAGATTTTTATAGTTAAGCCTTTTATAAAGGGTAACTGTGAGTTCATCAAGTGAGAAAAAAAAAAAAACCATTCTGATGACTGAATAATAACTAACTTTTTTGGTGCCTGTCGGTGTGTGTTTGTGCATGTCAGTATTTGTGCGATGATGACCAGAAGTATGTCAGCTTTATTGATGAATTTTAGTGAGCAATAAAAAAACAAAACAAAAAACAATTTCATCTTTTTAAATATAGTAAATATTTATTTTAAAATCTGAATAATACAGCAAACTCTCATTATTTCAACAGCAGACTATAATAAATGCCGTTTCTATAGCAAATGAAAAACATTTTTTTCTTTTTCAATAAAAACCCATCTTCAGGAATTAATTCATTTTCATTTTCCCCTAGTAGTTCTAAGGATTGCAATAAAAAGTAACTGAAATTAAGATGATGGCGGTAACAGTTAAAAATATTTTTAATTACTATAGCACTTTTTTTGTCTGGCTTGAGTCTCATATTGTAGTGAAAAAAATTAAGTGAAGGTACTATTTTTATGAGTGGGTCCGAGTTAGTAAATTTAATAACAAAACTTTGAGATGTCTATCACACTGGCAACTCCTGGCCATGATAAAATTATGAGAAGACATTTAAAATATACTTGACTTTCATTGGGTTTCTCTCCATTTTTTTGAGATGTTTAAATTATTTTGTTTGTATTTAATAATTGTCAGAACTTCTGAAATAGACAAGTTACAATGTCTGTATTAAATAATAGCATTAAACAATATCTATCTCAGAAAAAAACTGAAGTTAAGAAAACAGATAAAATATCAAGGTCACATACGAGGGGGGGACCCAAAAGTAACCGGAATTGTTTTCTGTGTGACAAGCTCATAGTAGTTCAGACTTCCACCGCTAAATGCCACTTGAGGCAACCCCCAGGCATCAGTGTGCTAACTGGTGTCATCATGGGAAGACGTACAACTCTGTGGTTCACATTTGTTTTGAAGTGATTCACACCTTTTCGTCTATTTTTTACCATGGCTGAAAGGATGCTTGTCATAAACTGAAAGAACAGTTGGAAGTTGATCCAGACCTTTTTTTGAAGGTCATCACTGGTGATGAAAGCTGGTGCTATGGCTATGACCCGGAAACAAATCAGCAATCAAGTCAGTGGAAGCATCCAACATCACCACGACCCCCAAAAGTGTGTCAAGTGAAGTCCAATGTCAAGATGATGCTGATTTGATTCTTTCATGTGAGACAAATTCTTCACAAAGAATTTGTTCCTCCTGGTCAAACTGTTAACCAGGTTTTTTACTTTGAAGTCCTAAAGCATTTGCGAGACAAGGTGAGACGAAAACGCCCTGACCTATGGCAAAGTGGTGGGTGGTGGTTGCATCACAACAATGCGCCAGTGCACACCGCTTTGAGTGTGAGACAGTTTCTGACCAAGAATGGCATAACTCCATTTCCCCACCCTCCCTATTCACCCGATCTTGAACTCTGCGACCATTTTTGTTCCCCTGAATGAAGAAAGTCTTCAAAGGAAAAGGTTTTGCAGATGCGGAAGAGGTTAAGAAGAAAACAACGGAGTCATTAAAAAACATAACTTCACAAGAGTTCCAGGACTGCTTTGAACAGTGGCAAACACGTCTGGACCGGTGCATTGCTTCAAATGGAGAATACTTTAAAGGTGATAAAAATATAAACATGCAACAATAAATGAATAAAATTATATGACACAATTCCGGTTACTTTTGGGTCCCCCCCCTCATATTTAAGGCATCTATTGAGGATGAAACTCTTTACCAGAGTAACTGTTGATGAGACTTGCTAACCATTGCTTCATGGTGAGTTTTACATTTCTTCTTATTAATATTGACCTTAGAATGGTACAAGGACGCAAGTATCATGCACCCAAATTTGCTGAAGGGTTTGTGAGACGATTAATTATTGCTTCATGGTCGGTCACAGGTATTTTATAATTGCCCTATTTTTCCAGTAATATTTATATTTGTATTAATTCCTGTCCATAGATTGTTATAACTTCCAAATCCATGTTTAAACAAGAATTTGGTTGGCTTTCCAACTTAAATGTTAATATGCAAGAAAATTATGTTCTAGTTTTTTTCCTTTTCTTGTCTGTTTTACTTTTTTTTTTTTTTTTTTTACAATTAAAATTGATTTGGTTACACTATTCAGCTTAGCTCTTTTACCTTTGGTAAGCGGAACTTGCATTGAGAAGATTAGTATGAGATTACATCGTACCAATCACAGAGATCTTTTGATTTGATGCCACTTATCAACCATTATGACTATTTTGTGAGTGTCAAAATGTTACATAACAACAAAACTTTACATCATAATATTTACTCTAACAGAGCAGAGATTTTGTTGTTCAGTATAATTATAGATACATATTTATGAAAATAATGAATTCTTAAAATTTTGGACATCAATTTCATGTAGACCATTTTATATAATGTTCTCTTGTTATCTGTCTATATCTCTGAGATGAGGTATTATGATTATTTACAGTATTTACATTATTCAGAATGCTATCCTCATCTTCATTGCCATATTCACAACATTCCATCCATTGTATGCTCTGGCTTTCTTCAGGTGATTGGAATTTCAAAAAATAAGATGTTGGTTAGATCAAAGAGTTGTGAGTTCAATACCAGGCCACAGCAGTGTTGAACCAAATTTGGGAGAATTGAGTTAAAGGGAAATAACTGAGACATCTGGAAGAGGCATGGCACATGGAACTAGAACAGTCTATCCTGGTGGGTGAAATAAAGGGTTCTGCTTGAAATTCCAATTACCTGAAGAATACTGGAGCGTACAATGGCTGAAATGTTGTGAATATGGCAATGAAAATGAGGATAACAGTCCAAATAATGTAAATAATGTAAGTGTTCTCTTCTTTATCAAGATTTTCAAAATTAGCAATAATCCTTTTAAATAATATCATATACTTTTTCTTTTTGCAGGTAAAGATGGCAAATATCATTGTTTTAGATGCAAGCAAGCTTTTCCCAAAGAGTGTGGCTTTCTTATGCACAAATGTTTAGTTTCTGATTATGATGATATATCTAAAAATATTGTTGTCAGAATTGAAGGGATATCATAAAACTAATTTAATTATAAATATTATATTCCTCAAAATTTCAGTTAATTTGTTTTTTCTTAACCACATATTAAAAATATGTTCATATTTTTTAAAGATGATTATTAAAAACCTGTCCCGGTTTTTTAATCTATTGATGGTTTAATTTGCATTCTTTACCTTCATAAATTGAGATTCAGTAAAAAAAAAAAAAACCTGTTTGAAAATCATTTGATGACAATTTTTGTATTGATTCCATATCATAAGTGTCATACACTTAAAAAATGAACGTTCTTTTCAGGGGAATATCTTTTCTTTTTCTTTTTTCTCCATGAAACTTGATGTCTTTTTATTCTTAGAAAAAGATGTTTTGACAGCTTTAAAAATTTCCATCCCTTTTTAATTTTTTCTTAATCCAAAGAAAACAATTACAGTCGACATGCAGTCATAAAATAATTTTATTTACTGAGTTAACATAAGCAAATATGTGGAGGTTTTTAACTGGGACAGCCGTATATATTCCTAACAAATTATTTGTCCCTTACTTTAATTACCATACTTGCTATTAAATATTTGGCATCTTCTTAACCATAGCTTGTGAACCAGATAAAAATAAATAGTTATCTTTTAAAATATTATAATTTAATAATAAATTTTTCTGCCTTTATTGGTTCTCCATATCACTTCATTAGGATTAATAATCACCTTTAGTTAAAGTAATAGAAAAATATGGTTTTAATTTCATACATTTAAAAAAATTAAAACACACAATCTGAAGAACTATGATTTCTTGCATAGAGAAGACTGTTAATTTGACAAATGTATATATTGCATTGAAAAAGAGACTGAAACGATCATCATTTATTAGAAATTAATTAATTAATAGACCATTAATCTTGTAGGGGAGTTATAACTGATTAAATAATTATAAATTATCTAACATTTATACATAGGAAAATATTTGTAAAAGTGAGGAACAGCAAGACGTGGAGACAACAAAACAAATATTATTTATCTGGTTGTCATGTGGTATTGGAGACATGAGAGACAGTAATACTGAGTAAAATTATGAGTTTGGGATCAGATATAAATCAGAATCCAACAGAATAAGATTAAGAATAAGTAAGGTGTATACAATATTTCTTGTATGTTTTTTTATAGATGTGATCAGATAGTTGGAAAATACAAGAAGTGTCTGCGGGTTTTCTTACCTCAGATTTTTGTTGGGGTATTAAGAGGTAAATGATAACATTATGGCCTGAAAAGGATACGAAATTTCTGTTGATGCATGTGTTGATGGCCTCTCCATGTTCACTGCTTGTCCAATAATAAGAACATCACATATTTGTGTGTTTAAAGGAGAAAAGTGGGATTGATTCTCATTAGTTTAGAAAGAGTGAACCAATAATAATTTCAATTGTTATAATCACCCTTTTACAATTATTTTTGATACCATAATTAATCTTATTTTTTTATGGACACAACACAGTGACAGCATAATTAATTTTTTATTTCAGTATTTCTTTATGGACACAAAAATATCATTCTTTTTTCTTACATTGTGCAATCTTTTAGAAAGAGAGGATTTTTTTTAGTTTGACCCTGGTTATTGTTTTTATTTATATATTTCTGGTGTATACAAATGGGAGGGAAGAAAAGAAAAAATGAGACCCCCCCACCATTTCCATACAGACAAAATACTTCAAGAATGAATGTATCAGCTGAAGCAACAAAAACGGTGACATTGGGCACTTCAACATGGTGTAGTGGTTAGCAAGCATGCTACAGTATATCAATTACAACTTAGTAGTGTATTCAACCCTAACTGCCCTCCATATTTACAGCCTTGTCCTACATCTTAGCTGCACTTAGTAAATCAAAAAGAATGCAATCAATATTTCAAACAATTCTTGGAATTGGTTTTTATGATTAAATCTTAATTGCATAATGATAGTGCAGCATTTTTCACATATTGACATTATGAAGCAATATTAACACAACCTCTGTCATTGATTTTCTTTGTTATAAATCAAATCTTTTGTTCAAAGTTCAATTTTATGGGAAATAATGGTGGTGAAAAAGGTACATACACAAAAGAGCAGACTAGTTGATTTGTAAAGCAAGATCAGTTATTAAACAAAATGAACAAAAAAGTTTAAATCAAGAATTTATTTTTTAAGAAGTAAATTTTATACACAATAAAATATTCATGAATACATGAGTGGGATTTACTATGTTGATGTGTTTGTGGGTGAAGCATTTACAGGCCTTTTAGCTTCAGTATGAAAAGTTAGTGTTACATAGTTTGAAAGAGGAAAATCTGGAAGAGAGAGTTACTTAAGCCTTTGCTTATTTTTATTTCCCAGAATTGCTGCTGATACAAGGTTTATTAAAGGGCTGCTGTTACTATGTTTATTAAGGCACTACGACTGCATAATAGCAATCATTTTTTTATTTACAAATTGATATATTACAATTAATAATTCTAACTAGTATTTTATGAGAATAGGATTTTTATGCATACAGAAAATCTCTTCTAATAAAAAAAAAAAAAGTCTGTGAAATGCTGCTTTATTCTTTCTTTTTTTTTTTTTTTTTTCGTGAAGATGAACCAGAAGCAGCAGTTGGAAAGGAAGAGTATGAAACCATAGAAAGGAACAAGAATCATACCCAGGATATCTTTGTCCTCAGTCCAGGAGAGAAAGTGGCTTTTAAAAAAATCCTCAATGGTGATTTGAGTTTGGTAGATCATATGTTTCGTGTGCATGTTATTAAACAGGACTTAAATGAGAATGCACCAGCTGCACCACGTGCAGGGACTTTTGGCCTATCCATGTACTCCTGTAACACATGTGACAAAGTGTTCCAAACTTTGTCACATATACGACTACACTGTCTTATTCATACTAACCTAAAACCATTCAAATGCTCCAAGTGCTCATATGCATCTAATTCTAAAGGTAAGTAGGATTTGTTTACATTATGTCTATGATATTTTGCCATATCCTAAATTGAAAAATCCTGCTGTCATTTGTGAAGCATTTGAATTACTTTTGTACAGATTAACTAAATCACACATGAGTATTTTCGTTTACCATTAGCTTGTTATAATGAGCGTATTGTTGCAAAGGAAGGAACAAACACGGATTAAAATTTCAAGTGTGTATTGAGTAATTTTCAGAATATATACATAGTTGTCTGAAGAGTTGACAAAATTGTTGATATATGGTTCTTTAATTGTTGTTGGTAAGAAAAAGTGATTAGGTGTAAAGGTTTTGGTGGTGAGACCAGGAATTGACAGATTTATTGGTTTGTTTAACTGATGTCATGGCTGGTGTCCGGGGAGAAGCCTGAAGTGGATTAGTGAAGCTGTGGGGTGTCATTGCTGGGGGTTTTCCATCTATCTTCAGGGTTGACATTGATGCTGGTGATGATGAAGTGGAGTAGAGCTGAACTGCCTATTGTCGGTCAGTGAGGAGTAGCATGTTTATATCTGTGGTTTAACAGGTGCTTTTTCTTGGAAAAAGTCTTGGTTTTAGTGAATTTACTAGTATTTAATAACTTTATTTTAAAGACTTCTGCATTTAAATGGAAGTGATGAATTTTTAAAACTGTTTTCTCTTAACACGTTTTCTGATTCTTGTCCCATTTTAGGTAAATTATATAGCCACATGGGTAAACATGCAAGCCATTTTTACGTCTGCTCCAAGTGTCCTTTCAAGACTGTTCACAGAACCTATCTGCTAGATCATGTGGCAACCCACAACAACGTACGGCAATGTTGTAAACTGTGCAAGAAGGACTACAATACTGTCAAGTCACTCGTCAATCATGTGTGCAAGTATCATAGCTCGTCAAAGAAAGGCCTAGAATATTTAGTAAAATTCTTGCGGGGACGCCAAGATTGTGGCACCATAGTCAGTTTACCACCAAAATTGTCTGCTGTTGCCATGAATAACATTAAAGATGATGGAGTGACAGAACCAATGGAGACATCTTTGACAACATCCTCCACTACAATGATGACTTCAGATATAATTTCAAATGGAGTTAATATATCTGGAAATCCCATAAAAGTAGAAATATGTGACCACACATACGCCATTTCAGCGTATGCTGATACTATGGAAGAGAAATTGCAAGAGACAAATAAAAAGGTTGTAAGTGATTTGGATACTTTTGAAAATGGTGTCATTGAGAATGTAATGGTCAAAGTAGAAGGAAAAGAGAGAAGTGATTATTCCTTGACCATTACAGATGGAAATGAGCTTAAAACAGCAAGTGAGATTGACACTGCTGCTGGAAACGTTATGATTGATCAGGAAAATCCAAACTTCAAAAGTGAAAAGGATTCTTGTACGTCTGTCTCAAACACATTGAGGGTTGGAGAAGAACATTTGAAGCTTCAAAACAATGATTCAGAAACAGGAGAAATTGAGAATGGGGAAGATTTTCCCAGTGAACATGAGGATGCAGGCAAGTCATCCAAGGCCTCAGATGTTATCACAAGGCTTGGTTATCGCTCTCTCTCTTTGGAAATGTTTCAGAAGATGAGGCAGGCTTTTGGGACTGAAGAATGTGAATTCTGTGGACGTCTTTTCTACAATCGTGCTGATTATGAATCACACATGCAAACTCACACAGGTAAGTGCAGTTTATGGCTGTTGGCAAATATTGGGGGTTTGGTAAGTATGTAGATATACAAGACTGACCTCAAAGAGATAATAAGACCGCTTTAATATCTTCATATGTTATCATTTTAAAAATAAGGCTTTTTAGTGATTATATTTAATAGTTTTCATGAGATTAATTAATGATACGTGGTAGCTATCATAGTACAATGGTTAGCAAGCTCGTTATTCAAAGACCAGTTAACTAGTTTGAGTTTCATTGTGTGACCGTCTTGTATGGTTCTGTGCTTGTATATAACTAATGATTGGTAATGTTAACAATTCTGACCAATTTTGTATACGAGATAGAACCTCAGACCTACTTCTTTTTTGTAATAATATAGTCAGATTGCTAAAGGAACTGTTAACGTTGTTACTTTTTTAACTAACCTTTTGAAGCCTGAAAATGATCCCTGTAGTTATATTAATCTTTGCGATTTTCTGTCAGACAAAGCAAGGAATTGTTGACCAGTATGATAAATGGAGAAGAAGAATAGATAAGAAAGTAAAATTACAAAATCTTTTAATTTGACATATTTTATAATATAAAAATAATATTTTATAATTATAATGTAAAAAAGATGGTAATAGAAATGATCCTGTTGAAAGCAGACATTGTGGAGGAAGATTTAATTCGTTAGGGACTTGGAAGTTTTTTCCGTTTTTAACCTTTAGCCATTAAAATGACATGCCAAACCTTTGCGCCAATTAATATGGAATAACAATTTATTAATTCAAAACTTAATCTGTGAAAACAGTCAACCCAGAAAATTCAGTAACTTGAAACCATAGAGGCTATGATGAAAATGGCACAAATTAATGCAAAATAGTTTTTTTTTTTTTAGATTGGCTCTGAGGACAGAATCCTCATCTTATTATCTAATGAAAAAATGATTTTGTAAACTAAATTATTCTCTAGAGTTGGAAATAAGAAAATGTTGCATTACAAATCTCTTTTAACAAGAACTTTCCAATTGGTTTTGTGACCAAATTACACTCCAATGTCCATCTCCACACATAAATAATAATGAATCTGCTGATGAGGAAATTTAAAAAGCTGTTTAAAAAAATTAAGGAATAATAAAGCATAACTAGATACTGAGACTGAATTTTTCCAAATAGTGTACGTTCTCCTTGAATTCAATAACAAATTTGTCAATTTTACAAGGGAATTTTAAATTTATTTTTATTTATTTTGCCGTATTGTTGGTTTATTTGTACCATAGATATACAAATCATTTTCTATTAAAATTTTCAAAATATTCAATATTAAAAGATTATCTGTCTACTGAGCAAAGCAAACATTTTTAAAGTCAAAGTAAATCCTTAAAAATCATGCTTATGAATAACTCAAATATGATTTATAAGCTAAAGTTATGATTGGGTTGATCAATATTTTACACTTTTATTTGCATTATCCTTAGAATATATAGGTATAGAAATTTTTGCTGTCTACCTTTGGAGTACTTTGGAAATAGAATCAAATGGAATAATGCTTATGATTAGAAAATGGAAGGGAATTTCAAATTTATTTTGCCGTATTGTTGGTTTATTCGTACCATGGATATACAAACCCTTTTCTATACAGATTTTCAAAATATTCAATATAGATCATCTTATATAATGTCCTCTTCTTATCTGTCTATATTTCTGAGATGAGGTATTATGATTATTTACATTATTCGGACTGTTGTGTCTCTGAGCTGTCGGCCTGTGGTTGACTCAGTCATGTCGCAAAACTGTAATGTTTTTTCCACCAGTGCTTTGGGGTTGACTCTTTGTCGCTGCCACCAGCTAGTGTCCCGGTCGATTGGTGGTTGTCACTACCTGGTGGAATCCCTTGGTCGGGGTACCAATATGTGACACTGGCCTGTCCAGAGTCGAATCCTGGTTGTTGCTACCCGGTGGAATCCTTTGGTCAGGGTACTGAGTGGGATGGTCGATCGATGCTAACCACTTCACTCCAGCTGCAACCGGTTCGACACCAGCTCCGTCATTCCCAACTCACTTCCAACATCTTGTTACCGAAGTAACTTCTTCAATCTCAAGTCTAATCTAGCCACGTTGTGATTTTGATCTTAGGTAGACAAGATCAATCAGGCGTTTGGCTGTACTGTAAGATGAGTCCAGACTTGAGGTGATATTGCACATGCATAAAGAAAAAAGAAACAAATAAAACCCAAGAGGTTCAGTATGTTAAAAAAATAACAAATTAATTTTATCCGTCTCTTATATACAGGAGTGTGTTTTTTCTCCCAGCCTGTTTTCTACGGAGTGTGACATTTCTACACTTCTTAGGCAGGTTCTGGTATTCTAAGTCAACTGGTTTAGTTTTTAGGTGCTGACTTGGCTTCGTTCATCAGTATAACTTGCTATTGGTAGTATAGGCGAAGTTGGAGGTCGTGGAATCTCTCGGTCAGCTTCTGTGAGGCAACACTCTACTCAAGCTCTGACTCTACTGTCAATGACTGACTCTACTCAACTGACTCTCACCGACTGACTGTCAAATGGCCTGAGGACGTTCATTTATATGTTTACCAATCAAAACCGGTGCTGGGTTAGACGCAGTCTGGGGTTCTCAGTAAATCTCGATGACCAACAAGAAATCTCTTTGTTGTCAGGCCAGGAAAGTTGATTACTTTCCATTTTTGGAAAATTAATCACTTTTCATTTTGGGGGGATCTCCTTGTCCGTGAGGTGAGTTCGGAGGAGAGCTATCCTCCTAAACTCTTCCTCTCTCACATTGATATCTCATACCAATCCCTTCAGTGGCCATTAATAACTTCCCCATCTTTCTCATCAGATTACCTCTGCCTATCACCATTGCTACCACTCAACCAATGGCATCCTGGCCGTGTGGGAATGGCTAAGCTGGCCTCCTTAAAATTATAACCCAGAATTTTTGTTTACAAAATTCTTTTTTTCCCATCGGCCAAAAGTTTTTATGAATCCCACATTGCCACTTAAAACCTCTCAGGTCTTTTGGTCACTCAGTCTTCTTAACCAGCACCCTTTACAAATTCCATCAATCACTTGTCAAAGTCTGCCATCTGGTCCCTTCATGAAATTAGCTTTTTATGGAACCCTTGGCTTCTTGAGAAATTAAATTTCTTATCTCCCAAATCGCAATTCTTCTGCGATATTTTTTCTCATGCCAAAATTTTATAATCACCATATTGCTACTCAATGTGTGAGCACCTGAAGACGACACTTTGGAAAAGTAAATAATAACAATTCTCTCCACTCCGTATCGGGATAAATTTTTCTCATGCCAAAATTCCCACAAATACCATATGGCTTTCCCTTGCCGGCACTCAAGAAAAAAAAAGAAAGATTTTTGTGAAGATAATATTGATTCTCTTTATCCCGTATCGGCAATCATCTCAGGCCAAAATTTTTATGACTGCCATATGGTCTGCCCAATATCTCAACGCTTTGCTTTTTCTGAATCTCATGTTTCTCTCAGCAAGACATTTCTTTACAAAAATGTTAATCAATTTGTCAAAATCTCACATATGGCTTTTCTACGGGTCTACTGTCTTTTGTGAAAAGTAACTTTTACAGAAATAAAATAAAATATTTTTAATATTGAATGGTATATCATTTGGGATATCTTCTTTCCGTTCTCAGTATTTCTTGTTTTAATTTTCATGGTTAATTAATTAGCCAATTAGATATCATAAACCTAATTTAATTTTTTTTTTTTTCTTATATTCCTTTAAATTTCAGTTAATTTGGTTTTTTTTTTTAACCACAAATTAAAATTGTGGACACGACAAAACAAATATTATTTATTATCTGGTTGTTATGTGTCATTGGAAACATGAGAGACAGTAATACTGAGTAAAATTATGAGTTTGGGATCAGATATAAATCAGAATCCAACAGAATAAGATTAAGAATAAGTAAGGTGTATACAATATTTCTTGTATGTTTTTTTATAGATGTGATCAGATAATTTAGTTGGAAAATACAAGAAGTGTCTGCGGGTTTTCTTACCTCAGATTTTTGTTGGGGTATTAAGAGGTAAATTATGGCCTGAAAAGCATACGAAATTTCTGTTAATGCATGTGTTGATGGCCTGTCCATGTTCACTGCTTGTCCAATAATAAGAACATCACATATTTGTGTGTTTAAAGGAGAAAAGTGGGATTGATTCTCATTAGTTTAGAAAGAGTGAACCAATAATAATTTCAATTGTTATAATCACCCTTTTACAATTATTTTTGATACCATAATTAATCTTATTTTTTTATGGACACAACACAGTAACAGCATAATTCATTTTTTATTTCTGTATTTCTTTATGGGCACAAAAATATCATTCTTTTTTCTTACATTGTGCAATCTTTTAGAAAGAGAGGATTTTTTTAGTTTGACCCTGGTTATTGTTTTTATTTATATATTTCTGGTGTATACAAATGGGAGGGAAGAAAAGAAAAAATGAGACTGAAGAGTAAGCGTTCTCAAAGCAAATTTGTTACTTTCACCACACAAAGAAAGAAAATCACTTGTAACGCGTCAGGAAAATAACTCACTAACGCCGGTAAAAATGCCTGAATTTTCCTTCTATTTTCTTAACCAACACGCATCTTCCACGACAGTGTCACCTACTCAAGAGACACTCCTGTTGCAAGGAGCTTGCGTCGACCCAGACGTTAAATTCACATCCGTCAACGCACCATTTACCACGTCACGGGTCGTCTTGATGCACCCTAGTAATGACTTCGCTATCATGTGTCTAAGGGGAGCATCATTTGTTGTGTCATCCCAGCCGGAAATGACAGCAGTCACCCTACGTTTTAATAAATGCAGTTGCAATGCGGATCCACCCGCCCCGGGAAAATGTCCCACCAGCTTTCCACATAACGAAAACACACTGTGTCGGGTCATGTGTTTGGGAATGTCGGAGCTCGCTTCCCGTTTCCAGTAAAGCATGTTGTGCTCCCCAGACCTGCAAGCCGAGCACCCAAGCACCATCCTCCAGTCGTTCTGGGTTTTTACATTCGAGCCCAAAGTCAGCAAGATGCTTTCTCACCTGTGAAGCGGGTACTAAGGTTTCGTTGATGTAGATGTTGTCAATGTAGGCTGGCGGAGCGGTAAATTGTCTCATCCTGGGGTAGCACAGCATCACGATGGCTTTCATGATGGCTGGCGCCACATTGAGTCCGAATCCCATTCGGGTTAAGCAGTACCTCGTCCCATTAAGGATCACCGTCTGAAATGGCCACAGTGACCGGTGCAGGCGTGCCTGCAAGTAGACCTTTCGAAGGTCAATCACAGAGACATTGGATCCTTCGTTCGCCATTCTCTCAATTTTGTGCACACACATCAGCATGAGCTGTGTATGTGTCTACATGTTCGATTCAGTTCTCTATAATCTAGTACAGGGCACCTTTCCCCTTGTTCTTTTGTACCATGGCCATCAACAGGATGAGGCCTCTTGGAGGACCAAGCTCTTCCTCGGGATCTGGAGTCAGCCATCCATTATCCAGCCACACCTGCAATTCGCGCTGGTATTCTTCCTTGCCGCGTTCGGGCACGAATATTCTAACACTTTTCGGTTCTGGAGCTTTTCTGGTGGGTTATTTTCCGACCATTTCCAAAATGCTGTCCATGTCTTAGTCCTTTGGTGAACTCTGCGCTAAAAGTCGGGCTCGTTGATCTTCAAAGTAGCACAGATGGGCGGATCAGAAAACTAAACCGCCTGCCTCTGTAATCGTCGCCCGCCCAGCTCTTAATAATGTCCGTCCCAAGGAGCAGATCGAAATCTAATAACGCGCTGTCCCGACCAACACACACTGACTGTGACAGGGTCACCGTTATTAATACTGAGTTTGATGTTTCCAACTCCCGGCTTCTGAGAGCCTTTCCATCAGCCGTTAGTATGTCCATCTTTTGTCTGTTCCACTGTCGCCAAATTGAACCGTTGGTGAGTGACGAGAGCAGCCCGAATCTATTAAAGTGGTGCGTGTTATTCCATTGATCGTACCTTAATCACAGGGAGCGCCACTTTCATGCTCGGTGCGGAGAAGAGACCGGGCGCTGACGTTTCGTCCCCCATTCCATTTCCCGGCACTTAGAGGCAATATGACCTACTTTATGACATTGAAAGCATCGTAGATCGAGATGTGCCTTTGCGCCCGACCCGCTGCGCATTTCTTCGTGTTGATAGTGGCAGTCTCTGGCAAAATGATTCGCCCAGAGCACCGATAGCAGGTGGCAACGCCATGGTGACGAATGGCTGGGGTCGGACCTTCTTTGACTTCAATTGGTTGAATAACTGCGGCCACTGGTTCATCAGCCTCTTTTTCGTTGATCATGACAGCCACGGGCTCTGGTCAACAATTGATTGAGCGTCAGGTCTTCCATTCTGGATGATCGCGGAGTATCTGCTTAACATGACTGGGCAATCCAGAAATGAAGGCACATGTCATCCATTCTTCAGGAAGCGGTGCGATTGGGCGGCGAGCTTCTTTAATTCTGCCAAATATACATCTACTGTCTCGCCAGGTTGCAGACGCCGTGCCTGGAATTGGTCGTGAGCCCACGAACCGGTCAGTTTCAAACGCGGTTAGTAGGCGTGCTTTATTTGCTCAATGTCACTTTTCTGTTCTTTACTCAGCTGCCTATACACAGCAAGGGCACCACCATTCAATCGCAGAGGAAGAATCCGATCAATCTTCGATATCTCGCATAATTCGCAGACCAGTTCCACCTTTTCGATCCATTCAACCACAGACTGTCCACTAGTATCACCACTGAATTCGGGGATCAGTTTTATATCGAACGGTCTTTCCGCCATCTTGCGAGAGACAAAGTAAATGCCGAAATAGCTTGAAGCGTACACCATTTCCATACAGACGAAATACTTCAAGAATGAATGTATCAGCTGAAGCAAAAAAACGGTGACATTGGGCACTTCAACATGGTGTAGTGGTTAGCAAGCATGCTACAGTATATCAATTACAACTTGGTAGTGTATTCAACCCTAACTGCCCTCCATATTTACAGCCTTGTCCTACATCTTAGCTGCACTTAGTAAATCAAAAAGAATGCAATCAATATTTCAAACAATTCTTGGAATTGGTTTTTATGACTAAATCTTAATTGCATAATGATAGTGCAGCATTTTTCACATATTGACATTATGAAGCAATATTAACACAGCCTCTGTCATTGATTTTCTTTGTTATAAATCAAATCTTTTGTTCAAAGCCCCTTTCTAAAATGTTTTCAGTGTTAAATTTATATTTGCTATTCAAAGTGGATTTGAATTTATCAACTGTTTAATGTGTTAGCTACTTCTATAAGGTTTTTTATGGGAAATAATGGTGGTGAAAAGGTACATACACAAAAGAACAGACTAGTTGATTTGTAAAGCAAGATATTAAACAAAATGAACAAAAAAGTTTAAATCAAGAATTTATTTTCTAAGAAGTAAATTGTATACATGAGTGGGATTTACTATGTTGATGTGTTTGTGGGTGAAGCATTTACAGGCCTTTTAGCTTCAGTATGAAAAGTTAGTGTTACATAGTTTGAAAGAGGAAAATCTGGAAGAGAGAGTTACTTAAGCCTTTGCTTATTTTTATTTCCCAGAATTGCTGCTGATACAAGGTTTATTATAAAGGGCTGCTGTTACTATTATGTTTATTAAGGCACTACAACTTCATAATAGCAATCATTTTTTTATTTACAAATTAATATATTACAATTAATAATTCTAACTAGTATTTTATATGAGAACAGGATTTTTATGCATACAGAAAATCTCTTCTAATAAAAAAAAAAAAAAAAAGTCTGTGAAATGCTGCTTTATTAAAACCTTTCTTTCTTTTTTTTTTTTTTTTTTTTTTTTTTTCATGAAGTTGATGAGAGTGAAGATGAACCAGAAGCAGCAGTTGGAAAGGAAGAGTATGAAACCATAGAAAGGAACAAGAATCATACCCAGGATATCTTTGTCCTCAGTCCAGGAGAGAAAGTGGCTTTTAAAAAAATCCTCAATGGTGATTTGAGTTTGGTAGATCATATGTTTCGTGTGCATGTTATTGAACAGGACTTAAATGAGAATGCGTCACGTGCAGGGACTTTTGGCCTATCCTTGTACTCCTGTAACACATGTGACAAAGTGTTCAAAACTTTGTCACATATACGACTACACTGTCTTATTCATACTAACCTAAAACCATTCAAATGCTCCAAGTGTTCATATGCATCCAATTCTAAAGGTAAGTAGGATTTGTTTACATTATGTCTATGATATTTTGCCATATCCTAAATTGAAAAATCCTGCTGTCATTTGTGAAGCATTTGAATTACTTTTGTACTGATTAACAAAATCTATAATTTTGTAGAGAGTAGTTATCCTTCCATGAATTTGTTGGGTCATTGAACTTATTCTTTGTATATATTCTTGTTCTTACCACATTTTGGTTGATCCATTTTACAACCCTCTTCAGGGGTACAATTTTATATGAAAAGAAGTGTTTCTTTTTTTTTCTGAATGGTTCACCAGAAAAAAAGACTGTGGAAGAAATCCCTTAAAAAAAATTTTGGTAATGACAAAAACAATTGAAGAGTTCTACAAGTGGCAAAATTAAAAATAAAATCCACAAAACTGTCCTTAACACACCACAGTTATAAAGAAAACCATCTGTTGTATCATTCTGGGCACAAACTTATATATAAGTTGGAAAGTCAGAGATTAGTTTAGGTGGTACAGAAATTTGCATGACTTTCTCTTAATAAAGTTAGAAGTCATGTAAACTTTGCTTTTTTGCCAGTAGATAACACACACGACATGCTGTTGCTTGTTTTGATCTTGTAAGACTCAATTTTCTTCACCATGCTCTCACAATCACAAATGTGACAGCCTCAGGCAGGTCTCTTGATTCAAACCCTATTGTGTGTGCCAATATGTTTCTTGAGGAATCATTGAGTGTATCTGAATGAGTTTGGGATATCTACATTCATGGCTATCATCAGATGCAGTCCAATTTCTCATACACTATCTGATGACAAAGTGAGTTATGGGTCATTTTTCATCATGTGATTGTGTCAATACAATGTCTCAAAAAAAAAAAATTATCTCCTACTGTCAGATGACATTTCTCAAATCTTGTTGATGCAAAGGTTGCCATATCACAAATCAAGTGGGGTTGCAGTTGATTAATGTAAGGTTGTGTTGTCCACAATAATGGGTAATATCCATTCCTAAACTGGCCCATACTTCATTCATACTTAAGGTGCCTCGCTGCCGACAAGCTGAGGCTGAGACAGTCGACTGGCTTTCCTTATGTTCCCTGGTCACTGTCCCGAAGGTCGCACTTTATGCCGTAGAATGGATTCATCTCACAATGTACATCTGTTTGATGTCAGGATGCTGACTCTGTCAATGTATTGCCTTTATCTGATCTGGAGAGATTTTGATCATTATCAAAACATATATTGGTTTTCTCTAGTTCAACTTCCTCCTTGATCGCATCGTACCATCATTACGGTACCCTTCTCAGCTTGTTTGTCCAGTTCTGATTTGATGTCATTAACATCCCGGTTAGGGATAATCTGTACTCTTGCACCAACTTTCCAAGAGTGCTGAGCCACTTTTTTGTATCAGCATCTTGTTCACCACCCTCGTAGGTGTTCTGATGAGCATGTAAGACACCTGTTGATACACACATGCATAGTCTGTGAAGAGGTGCAACCCGATTGCTCTTCAATGTATTGATGGCCTTCAGGATAGCATCCAATGCTGGCAGATTGATATGTTGCATACCATTTAATGGCCACAGTCAATACATACCCTAACTCTTCCAACAAAACTCCTATAGCGAGAGAACTTGCATCAACCCACATCTTGTATGTTTCTCCACCAATTGTTGTATGCAGGATCATTCTGGTGTATTCTAGTTGTGATATCTCAAATTATGTTCTTAAGGGGAACATCATTCACTTCATTGTACCATCCAGATGTAACTGATACTGTTCTGCATTTGATGATGAACAATGTGGCTACACAGAGCCACTGCACCCAGAAAAATGTCTCATTAGATTTCCTCACCACAATAAGACATTATATCACATTATGACCTCAGTAATGTCATTTCCACGCCTTCAAATTAAGGGCTTACGGTCACATCACATTGAAATACTGGTTCTCATACAATCACTGAATTTAAACAATGTCAAGCCTAGTCAGTACCTAGATGGGTGGCCACTTAGGAATACCAGGTGCTGTAAGCTTGGATGTGCAGATGGTGTAATGGATAATAGCTTAAAATTGTTAATTGGAGGGTCAATGTTTCAATTCCAGTTGGGTTTGTCATATTCATTTATGCACAAATACCCTAGAGGAAAAGTATGAATCTACCACTTTTCCCCCAGGTATGGGTTAATTAGTAAGACATGTATTACTAAACCATTATTATCTCAAAAAAAAAAAATAACAATCTAAAAATATATTTTGGCTTTAAATAAGCTGCAAAGGGTTGATAAGCCATAGAAAGCTAATCAATCAAAATTAACAGAATTGTTCTCCCACTTTGATTTGCAAACCCAAAATTCAAACACTGTTCTATAAACATTCTGGATTCTTACAATTCAGCCCAAAATTAGGCAAGTGCCATTTCATGTAGTCTGCAGAGATTAGATTTTTGTCAATGTATATATCAATATATGCAATTGTTGCCCGTTTAACAGACTTGTTCTTTGACAGTGCAGCATCCACAAGGACTTTCATTATGGCTGGTGCAACATTCAGCCCTAACTTCATGTTAGGTAGTATATTTTCCCTTTGAAAATCTCAATTTGAAAGGGCCAAACTGATTTCTGACTATGGACTTGCAGGTAGACTTGTCATAAATCAAGAATAGCAACATTTTGGTGCCATTCTCTCAGTATCTGTTCACATATGTCAGCATTGGTTGTGTATGTATGCATTCAAGCACTCATTTAGTTCCCAATAGTCTAATACAGGCCATAATTTACTTTTGTTTTTCTACACGACTAGTATTAACAGGATCAAATCTCTTAGGGGTGTGGCACCCTGCATTATTAGAAAACTGAAAAGAGATATTCACAAAAATATGATTTATTTTTATTTGGTTTGTTAACCAGTTGATAGTTATTTAGAGACGAAGAATAATTGAGTTTTGAGAATAATTCTCTAATTGTATTTAGGCGATCCGAAAGAAAGAAAAAGGAAAGAAAAAAAAAGAAATAATAAAAAGAAAGAGAAATAGATAGTACAAAACCCGGTCATAAGCAAAACACGCGTCAAAAGATATCCAGGTCAAAGTACCTGACCGAAATTCGCGGAAAAATAGAAATTGTTCAATTTGGTCGAAGAAATGAGATTTTAAGAACAATGGAAAAAAATATTAATAAGTGACAAACGAAAAGGGTGTCATTGAGATGAGAGATGACCGCTGGGAATTGTATACGAAAACAAAACATTGGTACACAAACCCTGACCATTTCTAGAGTTGAAGATAAGAACCACCCACGATGATGAGTGAAGATATTTTCAATTCAGATAATTAAGATTTTGTTAACAGGCCTGAGCGAAAGAAAGAGGTGAAAGCAATTGTTTTAGGCGCCGACAAGGCGGAAAAATTCTTTCTTTAAGTCGCATCTAATTAGCGGCAGGCTGTTTTGACAAAGGCCAAATGTGAAGGAAACTGAAATCGTCATTTTTCATGCGAAAAGGCCAATTTGGATTTTTTTTTTTTTTAGCAAGGTGTTTCTTCCCCAGAACAAAGCCCGGATTGACCACGCCCAATTGGAGACGTCACGAAGGAAGGAGGGAAGATACCGACCAGAGTCTCATTAGCGAGGGCAGTCACATGATACATGAGGGAGGAGGAGAGACGCCCGACCAGAGTCTCATTAGCGAGGCGCGGTCGTGATGTCGAGGGAGGGAAAGACGCTCGACCAGGACCCCATTGGTCGAGGCGGTCACCTGACATACGAGCGACCAGGGGAAGCGGGTATGCGCCTCCCCCCCGAGGGAGGCACTGTAAGGAAGTAGGAGTGAAAGTAAGAGCGATAATGGGAAATCGGGAAATAATGCGACTTTTGGAATTATCAAGAAAACCCTGGGCGCCGACAGACCCACCCCAGTTTGTTACGGCGTCAATAAAAGCAGGACCCCAATCGACAGAAATCAGTTACAGAGGCTGGGACGAAGAGGAGCTTGAACGCAGGCGGCGGGCCTGGTTCATTCGCCCCCCTTGGGCAAGAGAACGCCAGGAGTGAAGAAATTCGTCCAGCCCAAGTCGAAGAGAAGAAAAAATTGCTCAAACGGAAAGTTGCAGAAGAAGTTAAAGTTGCAGAGCGGACAGGCAGAAGAGTTGCAGGGCGGACGGCAAGAGAAGTTCAGCCCCGGACGGCAGAGAGAAGAGTTAGGACCTTGACGAGAAGAGTTGCAGGGCGGACGGAAGAAGAAGTTACTTGCAGTTGCGCCTAGAAGAAGTTGAAATCAAACCAAGCCTAAGGATAGAAATTCGTCCAACTCTCAAGCCCGAAGTGAATAAGCTCGTCCAACTCAAGCCGAAGAGAAGAAGTCAATTCGCGCACTGACGGCGAGAAGAATCAGCCGTGACCGACTGGTAGAGATCAGCGCACAGTGTCAAAACCAAACCACACCCGACATGCAAATTTCTAGAGTAGGCAACTCAAGTCTTTAAGTTGTATGGTAGAAGCTTGGTGCCACAGTCCACAAAAGCGGGTGGGAAGTAGGAATAATTTTATGTAACAAACATTTAGATATAAAGGTTGTTACCCTTTTTATCAGTAATTTTTGGCCTTGTGAGTTTTTCTTTCACTTGTGTGTTATCACCCCGTTGAACCCAGCTGGCATATGGCCTCAACCCTGTTTGATCCCGTCTGTCTAAGATCTAATCACAACGTGGGTAGGCAGACCGGAGATCAGTGCAGTTACCCTAGTAACCAGGTGTTGGGCGAGTTGGAACAGCGAGGCTGGTAATCATCTAACCAAAGGGTTAGAACGTCACACTTGGAGCCATGAAGCGAGATCGAACGACAGAGTCGACGCTGCGACCAGGGGGAGCGACGTCACAGGGACTAAGTTCCTTTTTGGGACAAGGTTGCAACCAACCATTATTTTGCATTTGTATTCCTTGATATCTTATGGTATTGGATACTTGGGCACTCTGTTTTTCAAATTCTCTGTTGTTTGACCAACCAACCCCTTCCCTGATGCTACCCACATTTTGATCAAAGTCTGCATAGAAATAGGGCTTTGTGCATAGAGACATCTCATGCTTGGGGAAAATGGACATTGTTAGACTCTGTAGTCCATTCATCTTTATAATATATAAATATCTAAACGACAGGTCAAAATCCAATAGCTATCCACCTTCTACTAACACTTTGATATTGAGGGGAGCTATATTGTCCACACCAGGCTTCACAGCACTCGGGTTTATTTTCATTTACCATTAGCTTGTTATAATGAGCGTATGGTTGCAAAGGAAGGAACAAACACGGATTAAAATTTCAAGTGTGTATTGAGTAATTTTCAGAATATATACATAGTTGTCTGAAGAGTTGACAAAATTGTTGATATATGGTTCTTTAATTGTTGTTGGTAAGAAAAAGTGATTAGGTGTAAAGGTTTTGGTGGTGAGACCAGGAATTGACAGATTTATTGGTTTGTTTAACTGAGGTCATGGCTGGGGTCCAAAGAGAAGACTGAAGTGGATTAGTGAATCTGTGGGGTGTCGTTGCTGGGGTTTTTCCATCTATCTTCAGGGTTGACATTGATGTTGGTGAACTGCCTATTGTCGGCCGGTGAGTAGTAGCATGTTTATATCTCTGGTTTAACAGGTGCTTTTTCTTGCCTTGGAAAAAGTCTTGTTTTTAGTGAATTTACTAGTATTTAATAACTTTATTTTAAAGACTTCTGCATTTAAATGGAAGTGATGAATTTTTAAAACTGTTTTCTCTTAACACTCTTTCTGATTCTTGTCTTGTTTTAGGTAACTTATATAGCCACATGCGTAAACATGCAGGCCATTTTTATGTCTGCTCCAAGTGTCCTTTCAAGACTGTTAACAGAACCCATCTGCTAGATCATGAGGCAACCCACAACAACGTACGTCAATGTTGTAAACTGTGCAAGAAGGACTACAATACTGTCAAGTCACTTGTCACTCATGTGCGCAAGTATCATAGCTCGTCAAAGAAAGGCAAAGAATACTTGGCAAAATTCTTGCAGCGGTGCCAAGATCGTGGCACCACTGTCATTCACCAATGTCATGTATGTAATCGTAAATTCAAGAAGAAGACTGACTGTGACCGGCATTTGCTTTCGCATGACATTAAAAACATTCCCCATGTGCAACACTGTGAGTTGTGCGACTATTCAGCTAGTCAAAGGATTTATCTAGAAAAACACTTCCTTAAACATCGGGTTATTTATTGTTGCTGTTTGTGTCAGGACAAGTTCTTAAGCACTGTTAGACTATTTGAGCACATTAACAGTATCCATGTTGATGATATTTCTGAAAGGACAAATGAGAGTATTTTTGAGCAGAGTATTGCTTCATCACTTTACTTACCTGAGCCTGATGATACTTTGCCTGACCAGGACAAGGAGTTTGACAATTTACCCCCAGAGTTGTCTGCTGTTGCCATGAATAACACCAAAGATGATGGAGTGACAGAACCAATGGAGACATCTTTGACAACATCCTCCACTACAATGATGAGTTCAGATATAATTTCAAACAGAGTTAGTATATCTGGAGATCCAATAAAAGTAGAAATATGTGACCACGCATACACTATTTCAGCATATGCTGATACTATGGAAGAGAAATTGCAAGAGACAAATAAAAAGGTTGTAAGTGATTTGGATACTTTTGAAAATGGTGTCATTGAGAATGTAATGGTCAAAGTAGAAGGAAAAGAGAGAAGTGATTATTCCTTGACCATTACAGATGGAAATGAGCTTAAAACAGCAAGTGAGATTGACACTGCTGCTGGAAACGTTATGATTGATCAGGAAAATCCAAACTTCAAAAGTGAAAAGGATTCTTGTACGTCTGTCTCAAACACATTGAGGGTTGGAGAAGAACATTTGAAGCTTCAAAACAATGATTCAGAAACAGGAGAAATTGAGAATGGGGAAGATCTGCCCAGTGAAGATGAGGATGCAGGCAAGTCATCCAAGGCCTCGGATATTATCAAGAGGCTTGGTTATCGCCCTCTCTCTTTGGAAATATTTCAGAAGATGAGGCAGACTTTTGGGACTGAAGAATGTGAATTCTGTGGACGTCTTTTCTACAATCGTGCTGATTATGAATCACACATGCAAACTCACACAGGTAAGTTCAGTTTATGGCTGTTGGCAAATATTGGGGGTTTGGTAAGTATGTAGATATACAAGACTGACCTCAAAGAGATAATAAGACCGCTTTAATATCTTCATATGTTATCATTTTAAAAATAAGGCTTTTTAGTGATTATATTTAATAGTTTTCATGAGATTAATTAATGATACGTGGTAGTTATCATAGTACAATGGTTAGCAAGCTCGTTATTCAAAGACCAGTTAACTAGTTTGACTTTCATTGTGTGACCATCTTGTATGGTTCTGTGCTTGTATATAACTAATGATTGGTAATGTTAACAATCCTGACCAATTTTGTATACGAGATAGAACCTCAGACCTACTTCTTTTTTGTAATAATATAGTCAGATTGCTAAAGGAACTGTTAACGTTGTTACTTTTTTAACTAATCTTTTGAAGCCTGAAAATGATCCCTGTAGTTTTATTAAACTTTGCAATTTTCTGTCAGACAAAGCAAGGAATTGTTGACCAGTATGATAAATGGAGAAGAAGAATAGATAAGAAAGTAAAATTACAAAATCTTTTAATTTGACATATTTTATAATATAAAAATAATATTTTATAATTATAATGTAAAAAAGATGGTAATAGAAATGATCCTGTTGAAAGCAGACATTGTGGAGGAAGATTTAATTGTTAGGGACTTGGAAGTTTTTCCGTTTTTTAACCTTTAGCCATTAAAATGACATGCCAAACCTTTAAGCCAATTAATATGGAATAACAATTTATTAATTCAAAACTTAATCTGTGAAAACAGTCAACCCAGAAAATTCAGTAACTTGAAACCATAGAGGCTATGATAAAAATGGCACAAATTAATGCAAAATAGTTTTTTTTTTTTAGATTGGCTCTGAGGACAGAATCCTCATCTTATTATCTAATGAAAAAATGATTTTGTAAACTAAATTATTCTCTAGAGTTGGAAATAAGAAAATGTTGCATTACAAATCTCTTTTAACAAGAACTTTCCAATTGCTTTTGTGACCAAATTACACTCCAATGTCCATCTCCACACATAAATAATAATGAATCTACTGATGAGGGAATTTAAAAAGCTGTTTAAAAAAATTAAGAATAATAAAGCATAACTAGATACTGAGACTGAATTTTTCCAAATAGTGTACGTTCTCCTTGAATTCAATAACAAAATTTTCAATTTTACAAGGGAATTTTAAATTTATTTTTATTTATTTTGCCGTATTGTTGGTTTATTTGTACCATAGATATACAAATCATTTTCTATTAAAATTTTCAAAATATTCAATATTAAAAGATTATCTGTCTACTGAGCAAAGCAAACATTTTTAAAGTCAAGTAACTCCTTAAAAATCATGCTTATGAATAACTCAAATATGATTTATAAGCTAAAGTTATGATTGGGTTGATCAATATTTTACACTTTTATTTGCATTATCCTTAGAATATATAGGTATAGAAATTTTTGCTGTCTACCTTTGGAGTACTTTGGAAATAGAATCAAATGGAATAATGCTTATGATTAGAAAATGGTTAGAATTAAAAGGTAGAAACATCACAGAAATAGTTATGGATTAATTTTAGTGATCATTAATGAGAAAAACACTTGTAAAACATACATTTTATACACCAATAATTATCTACATAAATAAAATGGAGGTTCTATCTGTTATAGTCTCAGAAACTACTGGATGGATTTCAGCCAAACATGACATGCAGATAGTCTCACGAGCTATGTAAAATTGATCAAAGTCAACTATAAAGTTCACAAAAGGTAAAAAGTAAGGTCAAAGAAGCCATTTCCCATGTTAAATATTCATTCCCATATTTTAAAAAAAAAAAAAGTAGAAAGGGAGGATTCTTGTACGTCTGTTTCAAACACAGTGAGGGTTGGAGAAGAATGTTTGAAGCTTCAAAACAATAATTCATAGGAGAAATTGAGAATGGGGAAGATTTTCCCAGTGAAGATGAGGATGCAGGCAAGTCATCCAAGGCCTCAGGCATTATCAAGAGGCTTGGTTATCGCATTCTCTCTTTGGAGATATTATTTTTTTGATTATTTCCCTTAATCATTTTAATACTCTATGCAAATAAAATGAAGTGTCTCTTTGTTTTAGCTAGGTAACTCCACGGTTTTGCTCAAAGAAAAGACCATAGCATGATAAAAACGGCCTTAAACTTGATGAAAACAATTTTTTATTGTCTAAATCTGTGTCACCATTAAGAGGAAAGCCTAAAGCATTTGTTTTTTAATCCTTCCTAGCATATCTGAAAAGTTAGTTAAAATTTTTTTTTTTTTTTTTTTTTTCAGCAAAATTGCTATAAAATCTATGATGTCTGTCATGTTTGAGAAATTTAACAAAAGTTAAATTCTGCATTTAAAAATCTTGTAAAAATCGATTATACCTCTTTGAAAAGTTATTGGAGGAAAATTAGAAAATTTAAAGTTAATTTAATAAATTTGGAAACAAACATTACTTACTATGCAGAAAAAATGTATTTTAAAATAAGAGAAAGTATGTTTTATCAACGGTGTTTGTTGATAAGCAATGACTGATTGTTTTATTGACGGCTAATTTGAGGATAAGTTATATGGGAGAACAGAAGTGACATAATTTTTTTTTTCTAGTTTAAGTGAACCAATTTATTTACCTTATTTTTAATAAGTAACAAATACTTTTAGCAGTCTAATATTATTTTTAGGTACTTTAACCTTATATTTGTTGAAGAGGCTTTCTGGAAAAATTAAAAATACTATTAAAAAAAAAAAATTAAAATTTCATAACTGCTGAAAGATACCTATAAATTTCATGAGAGAGATACCTATAAATTTCATGAGAGAGATACCTATAAATTTCATGAGAGAGATACCTATAAATTTCATGAGAGAGATACCTATAAATTTCATGAGAGAGATACCTATAAATTTCATGAGAGAGATACCTATAAATTTCATGAGAGAGATACCTATAAATTTCATGAGAGAGATACCTATAAATTTCATGAGAGAGATACCTATAAATTTCATGAGAGAGATACCTATAAATTTCATGAGAGAGATACCTATAAATTTCATGAGAGAGATACCTATAAATTTCATGAGAGATACCTATAAATTTCATAAATACCTATAAATTAAGGAGAGAGATACCTATAAATTTCATGAGAGAGATACCTATAAATTTCATGAGAGAGATACCTATAAATTTCATGAGAGAGATACCTATAAATTTCATGAGAGAGATACCTAATAATTGTAGGTATCCATCTCGTATTTGAAATGTTATACATTTTTTTAATGTGTTAATTTTTTAATCAGTTTTGAAAATAAACAATTTATTTCAATTAATTACTTTCAAGTAAGTTACTTGAAACTAAAAAGATAATTGATGACTTGCACTATAAAACACTACAAAATTCATTTTGTATTCCTGCTTCCTACAATCATCCATACATTTTAATGAAACCGTTTTTTTGGACACAAAAAAACAATGTGAAATCCTATTTTTAATACTGTTGGTTTGCAGATTGTAATAAGCTTTAAAATTTATGATCTTATAGATAGATCTACTTAAAACACTTTTTCCTAAAAGACTCAGTTTTGATAATTTTAAAATATTTAACAACTTCATGTAAACTTGTAAAAAAAAAAAAGTACCAAACAATTGTCGTAAAAATTCATTTTTCATTGAAAAAATTTTTGCCTTCAGGCAATTTTGTCCTTATACATAAAAGCAACTAAAAGCTTTTGAAATTAAATAATGTCTTTGTTTTATTGTGTATGTTACAATTCAGAGCTGGGTTTTTTTTTTGTGGTTTGTGTTGTTCCTTTTTTTTTTTTTTTTTTTTTTTTTTTTTAAGCATGATTTAAAGGATTTAAATTTTTCAAAGACTTCTGCTTTTAACTAATATAATCACTAAAATACTCAGTGTTGTATTTCTATAATTTTTATAAAATTAGACATGGTGGGTAGCAGATGTAAAAAAAAAAAAAAAAAAATATTTTTGCGATGACTTTCAAAAAAAACATATTTAAAATAATTTCAATCATTTGTAAATAGGTCATTAAAATTTCATTAAAATCTGACAATGTGTTTTATTTTTGAAAAATTTTCCAAATTAACATCTGTCACTGCAAAAAAAAAATGTGCTAAAATTTGCTATGTTATTTAGTAGTTCTGTTGACGCAAAGAGAAACAAGATTTTTAATCAAAAGTTAGAATGTTCTAAAAATGATGGAAACATTTAATAATCAAAAAATACTTTGGTCTTTTCTCTTAATAATAGTATAAATATTTTGATGATAAAACTTTGTTTTCATCAAGTTTAAGGCTGTTTTTATCATGCTATGCTTTTTTTTTTTTTTTTTTTTTTTTTAGCAAAACCCTGGAGTTATCTAGTTTTAAACCAAATTAGTACCTAAGCAATGCATGATATTTCTGCATGTTGTAAATATTTAGGTACATTTGAAAAATGATTAAATTACAAAGTACAAATGGCACAAAAGTAGACTGTTAATAATGCAGAAAAAAAGGGATTATTTAAATCTAAGATTTAAAATTCTGTAATAGTTTGATATAATTTTTGTTATTGAATTCTGAGATCAATAAAGGCAATCATTAAGCTCAATGTCTCCAGTCATTTCCCATTTATATAATTTTATTATAATTATTTGAAAATAAGAACTATTTTGTAATTTGTCAAACTCTCAGTTACATCCAAATTAACGTCAGAATGTTCTCTTGCACATTCTTTGTTAAATTTTTTCACATTCATTACAATTTTTAAACTTTTTTTAACAGGTTTTTGTATAAAATAACACCCATTAAATAATTTAATTAAAAAAAAACATTTTTTCTTGTTGTTTTAGTAACATTATTTCACAAAAATATTTACATATTTTGAAATTTTTTAAAGTTAATAAAATTTTCTTTTCAATTTTTTGTAACAAACACAAATATACCAAAATTAGATCATTATTATCAGAGTGAGCACAAATGCAAATCCTATTCTGTTCAGTAGCAAATGTAACTGGAAATTGCTTTACTATTGTTATACTAGAACATACCTATTCTATTGTAATAGACTCTTCCACATATAATAAGTAGTAGTAGTAGCAGTCACCAGGGGGCTCAGAGTGAGTTAGTCAGTTCATGTCGGACATTAAAGTATCAACCACCACAACTAGATTGCTGCATCATTAACTATTATTTCACGTTACTAATGTTTTATACGTCGAACCCTTTTAGGACCAACTTAGTGAAAATACAAGCCACCACTGTGAAAACTACTCTACAACAACTATTATACTAAGAAAAATCTTAACATTTGTTTTTGATGTATTAGTCAGAAATGTACATGCAAGATTATAATGGCCTGTCTAATTTATAGAAGTGCTTTCATTATTTCTCAATTTTTGTCATATAAAAATAAATGTCTATATGCTGACAATTTATTCATGCAGTAATTTCTAGTAAAATTTGTCTTATCCATGTATTGCTTTGTTTTTATTATGAATCTTGAGATAAAAAGAAACCTAGCGACATTAATCTATTAAAGTATTTATCATTCTTTAATAATGAATCTTGTTTATCAGAAGTTCATTTAAATTCGGCTGGTAGCAGTTTTTTTTTTCTTCTTCTTTCTGAAGAACATTTTTATAACATTTAAGGTTTGGTTATAATTGTAGCTCGCCACTGTGGTCAACCAAGCAAAGGAAAAAAGAAAATTATTCATAAATATGCTTTACGTAAAAAATTACCAATTCCAGATAAAGGTAAGTTTTTCTCTATCTCCATTTTAAACATGATGAAATGTTTGATTGGAATCTTTGTAAAATTGATCATATGTCAATATCTCTGAATAAGTTAAAATTAAACTGATTATTCTTTGGTCTTCATTCTATTGATTTATATGTTTATGACGTCTTCCTACTCACCCCTCTCTCTCTCTCTCTCAATGTTTTTCCCTCTCTCTCAATGTCCCCCCTCTCTCTCTCTCAATGTTTTTCCCCTCTTTACTTTTGCTTTAATTCATTCATTAAAATCAAAATAAAGGAGATAAGATTACATTCCTCAGGAGATTTAAAAGAAAACAAAAAACAAATTGCTTCAAAACCAAAACTTTAACCTGAAAACTTATATTCTTTAATAGCCTCATTAGATCAAAACTTTTATATTGATGTCATATATGGCATCAAATCCATTCAGAAATATCTAAACTGTCAGCTGTTTACAACCACTTTCTAAGGTCAATGGTGAAAAATGGCTTTGATTGCTGCCTGAAGATTTTGGTAAAGACAATACTTCTTTGAACATTGTGGACTGGTGCTATAGAATCACAAAAACTGTACCAGGTAACAGAAAACACATCACTTGAGGAATTTCAACAGTAGCAGCTGCTAATATGGATATTGCATGTAATTCAAAGAGAAAATAGTAACATAATCAAAAAGGAAGCCACCATCAATACTAGAAGGCATGATAACAGCTGCTGAACTTGATAAACCATTTTTTTTTTTTTCTTGTTTTCAGAGATTTATTTTAGGGGAAACTGTTATTAGATCTGATATTACTTAGACCAACTCAATCATGTAGGACCTCCTGATCAAACAAAGCCTGAATAGTGCTTTTGATTTACATTTATAAAATAATATTTAAGCAAATAAATTTAAAAAAAATTTGTCAGATTTAATCCATTTCCTAAAAAAAATTGTCTTTGTTTACATTAGGGCACAAAACAGAGCAGACATGTATATTTCAAGAATCAGGTAGTATGTTCTACTCAGATATGAGTATCCATTTATAAAATAACATTTAAGCAAATAAATTAAAATATAAAAAATGGCTGACACAGTATTGTGGTTAAGTTTTTTATTTAATTTTTCTTGTGTTTTTATGATTTTCTTCTTTTCTGGACCTAAATAATGCTGAAATTGTTTGAATGTTTTTTTACATCTTTCTGACCATAGCTCAGTTAGGTTTCATTTAGATACACATAGACTAACCAAACTATATCTGTAACATATTGGTTGATAATACAAAAATATAATAGCCTCATCCACATGTAAAAAAAGGCTGAAAATAATGGAAGCATTATTAATAAAAAAGAAAAAGCTAACACTCAATAATATCAACTATGAACATGGCCATAATGTGCTGACTGTGTTCAGAAAATAAAACATTACTATAACTCTAGATAAATACATAAAACAATCCATACATTCAGTTAAAAATAAAATCATACTTGATAACAGCTAAAAGTATAGCCGAAAGTACTCAGGCATACAAAACATTTAGGCAATTTCTACATAATTTATGTCCAGAAAAGAAGAAAATTTAATAGAGTACAGGAAAAATTAAATCACAAACTTAACCACAGTACCATGTGAGTAATCTTTAATGAAACTTCTATAAAAGAGGGATTGCTGCCCAAATACACAAATATATATTTTCTATTGACTTCTCCATGATTTTGAAATCAGAGTTTTCTGAAACCTGCTGCCACCTAAGGGAGACCACTCTACCTGCTATTTAACTCGTAGCTGGTGGCAGAAGAAATGCATTTATGTTTTTCTCAAGAGCATTAGTGCAAAAGTTTCCAAATCCTTAAAGAAAAAATTTATGAAATGCCACTGTTGTCATAGTGTGTTCCTCCCATCTGGTATCAGTAAGGGATTTTAATACATTCCTTTCCAAGATTAACTTTAAGAATTTCTTATTGACTTTCTGAAGCTTGTCACCTGTATTTTGAGAAAGATTTAACTGCCACTTGGCAGCATCAACAATATTTTGGCCTTCTAGATTAAATAAATGAGTTCCACATGGTACATGTTTTCCACTAAAAAAAACTTTTGTTGCATTATCTTTAGTGCATAGACATGTTAGCGGTGTTATAGGATTAACTCTGACATATTTAAAATATTTAGTTTGCAAAAATGATGCAAGTACTGCAACACTCGTTTTGACATTTCCTTAATGGTATGGCTTTTTATTTTTAAGAATGCTAACAAATTATCAATAGATTGCCTTCTTTTATTGAATCTGTTGATTGATCTGTTTGTGATAAATCTAGGATTGAATGAACAAACTAAAATAATCGGCACAAGTCATTTTGTTCACAATAAATGCACAAACTTTTCAGCAATTTTCTAACAAGTGGCTTTGGACTGTGTAGTGAACGAGATAATCAAGTACCCCGGAAAAAAGTTTGTGTTTTGTGTGCGATCTGCCGGGATAGGATGTTCCGTAATTTGCATATTCATACACTCTTATAGCGACTCCTGCGACAAACTTTTTTCCGGGGTACTTGATTATCTCGTTCACTACACTCCCCCCTGTCACATAAGTGACACTCATGGGCGGGCCTCTTTATTCTTAAGCTTCTCCGGAGCGGGGCAACTGTGGGAGGAGATTGTGTGTTATATTCTGAGGTTTCTTCTGATCTTCAGACTGTTAAAGACTTTTTTTTTTTTAATTCCATATTTTGAAATGGGACCTGCTAAAAGTAGATCAAATTTATAAACTTCAGCAACCATAAAAAAAATTCCTATTCTTTATTAAATGAAGTTTTTCGTATCTTCCTTGAAAAATTAAGTTATATTCAGTTAACGCATGAATAACAGCTATTACGTACATCAAAACCTACTTGCATTATTTACATTATTCAAACTGTTATTCTTATCTTCATTGCCATATTCACAACGTTTCGGCCATTATACACTCTGGCCTTCTTCAGGTAATTGGAATTTCAAACTGAACCCTTTATTTTGTCCACTAGGGTAGATTGTTCTAGTTCCACGTGTCATGCTTCTTCCAGGTGCCTCGGTTATTTCTCAACTCTCCTTGAAGAAGGCCGAAGCATGCAATGGCCGAAATGTGAATATGGCAATGAAGATGAGGATAACAGTCTGAATAATGTAAATAATGCAAATAATCATAATACCTCCTCTCAGAGATGTTGACAGGCATCAAGATCTGGTTTTGCACTATTTAAAATATGGTTTTTCTAACTGCTGTCTAAAGCCTAGTCCTTATTTGCAAGGGAAGTATGTTAGCATTGAGTTGGGATGTGGAATGGCTAGTGGCATGGAATGAAAAATCAGAAAGCTGAGTTCAAAATCCAGTTAGGTTTATTGCATTCATTTATGCACAAATAACTTTGAGAAATGTATGAATCCAGCTCCTTCCCTGGCTATGGATTAATTAGTAGGACTTGTATCTGGAAAAATCGTTATTCACAAAATATTCTTATAATCCAAAATGTTTCAGCTTTAAATAACCAACAAAGTGTGGACAAGCTGTAAAAAATAAAATCAAAAAAAAAAAATCCATAGCATAGTCTCTATGAACAGTGTTTCTTTCATTATTATCAATTATAATATTTGTTACTACCAGAATATTTTTATTTGAGCAAAATGTTGACAAACAAAATAATAAATCAACACAGTGTTGAAGATAATAACCACTCTCTTGTATTGTGTACCTCCCCCACCAAAAAAAAAAAATTTTCTTGCAAAATCTATTTTCCTGGGTTAGTATTATTGAATCTCTGATTAGATTTACCGAACAGCACCTTGTAGTATTGATAGCTGATTGGTGCACAAGCAATCTAATCAGTTGTTATCATTGTCATCATCTTGTAGATTTTTTTCATTGGTAATTGCTATTTCTACTTCCTATTGTCTTGTTAAGCAACTCTTATCAATATTTGCTATAGAGATATCCAGAGAGTTTATAGGTAGATTGAGCTCAGCAATGATACTTTTTGGTTGTTGAATCCGTCTTTTCTTTTTTAGGCGCCATGTGTGATATACGCTTGGATGATCTCTCTTCAATTAATGACTTAGCAGAAGAGTTTCCACAGTAGGCTTCCATTACTTTCTGTGATAGACTGGTTGTCAACCAAGACTATAGGGCCAAGTCTACATTGCTATTTAACCTATAGATGAGAAGAGACGGATTCATATCTTTCCCAAGAGTGTATACGCATGAGTGAATGTAATGAACCTAACTGACCTCCAATTTCTCATTCTGAGCCATTATCTATTACACCACCTGTACATCGAAGCTTACAACACCTGGTATTTCCAAGCAGTCACTCATCTAGGTACTGACCAGGTTCAAAGTTGCTTAACTTTGGTGATTATGGATAGAGAAAAGGTAACTTTGTAAATTTTGTCCCCTGGATTTCTTGACCTGGGTTTTTTATTTACGGTGTGAAAGAAAAAATCGGAAAAACTTACTAATATCTTAAATTAGAACAAGCATTAGTTTTAATCCCTCATTGGAAGGTACAACAGTTATTAACAACAATCTGTTAACTTTGAAATGGTTTTGGGAAAATGTATGCTTGAAAAGATTTGCTTACTTCATTGACATTCCCAGTTGCAGGAAAAATAGTAGTCAGAGGAATATCATATAAAATAATTGACCTTTTTAATTTAAAAGAGAAAAACGTTTATGTATATAAAATACAAGTAGAACATGTGTTAGAGGATTTCACAAAGGTCAGTTAAAATGGTTAATAAAACAAAAAGGTTAATAGATTTTGTTTTGTAAGCTGGTGAGAAGATTCTATATAGCAAAAGGTTCAAGTATTCATTTTGCATTGTCTAATAAGTTGATATGTATAGAATATGTAAAAGTCCCTTTTAGGAATTTTCAAATGAGTTGAATGTTTAGTTGTCAAATGGTTGAGTCATTTTCTGTGAATGCAGAAAAATAGAAAAAAAAAGGAACAAAGGTATTGTATGTATTGAGTAATATGATCTCCTGTAGAAAATCATACATACATACATACATACATACATACATATTATTGAATTAACTTTCTGGTAATCTTTTTATTTGGTTGTGTTGACTCCTTAGAAAACATTCAGTTGTTCTTATGTATTTTTATTTTTCATCAGTCCAAAAGTACAATATTCATTTTTTGTGATTCATTGGGCAATGTTGTATTTTGTTTCTGGTAAGCTATTATGATAAATTCTGATGGTATTTAAGCTTGGGTTAGTTTCCTTTCTAACCATATATTTCAATTACTAATAGATATACCCCCCAAAGAAACACAATACCTAAGCTTTAATTTCAAGCTAATAGATTAAATTTAATATTTCCAATAAGCAAAATACTTTGCTGTATTCCAAAAACTAATTTAAATTGACTTTTTAATATTTTTATTTTTTATTTATTTCTAAAATTAAAAGAAGCCTTGAAAGCATAAAGATTTATTGACATACCTAACATTCTAAGAATGCTTCTTGCAATGGCACTATTTTCTTACAAAGTCTTCTTAAAATTGATGGTTTATCAGTATTCCCTCTTTTGACTTTGTGACCTGTTAATGGGCATATCTTTTGTCTTGTTAATTCTTATGTTTATATTGTTTTCTTTCTATTTCCATGTACTTTTCATTGAGCCATTCCTTTTTAGCCTGCCTGCATTTGTTTCTAATTTCTGTGTTTACTGTTCTATAATCTGTACCATTACTTTGCATTATTCATTATCTCTTTTTCATCATTGCAATAATTTAATTTATCATCCACTCTTTTTTTCTTTTACCCCCCCCCACACCTCTCGCCTTGTTTTCCTTTGGATGATTTAATTCACTGATGTCACTAGTACTTTTCTCAATGTGTTCCACTTTGAATTTCCAGTCTCATTCAAGTTATTATATTTGTTTTTAACCTTGTCGACATGCATCTCTCTCTGCCATGTGGGTAATTCAAAAGTCTGTCATATTGTATTTTAGTCATTACTTTGGTTTTCTCTAATTTCATTTTATTCTGAGGGTTGAATATGAGTGGAAGGGGACTGCTCCTGCAGTTGGCACTTGGATAAGTGTTATATAGGAATAAAGTGTTGTTGCTGACACTTGTTGGAACATAGATCGCCAGTGAGCAAACACAGGTGATCCCATTATTGAATCAAGTAGATAACGTGACCATAGACATGTAAGGGATATTACCTTGGCATCTAATTGATCACCATTTCTATCCTCTATTACTATACATACTGCTATTCTCTAATCTATTCACTATACTATTTCTCTATTTAGATCACTATACGACGTTTACTATTAGAGCAAGTATTATCGAGCGATACTGGAATCGGATAGTTGTCAAATATACAATTTTATAACGATTTTTCTTGTCTTTTCTTTTTTTTTTTTTCTTAGAAAAAGCTAACATTAAAAGTAAGAAAGAATGTCCTTAAAGTTTGTAATCTAAATTCTTACATAAAATATATTCTAAAAAGCAGATGATTCAAAAGAACCTTTAGGACTCCAACCTTAAATTTATAATTCTGGTTAATTCCTGACCAATAAAAACAGTCAACAAAAATATTAGTAATATTATCAGTCAGTAAATGATTCACTTGATGTAAAGTGCATCCTGTTTTGTATTAATTAGTTTTAAGACCATTTACTCAAATGAGATACTGTAAATTATTTATAGTACTATATATGAATTTCTAAACAACATACATTAATAAGATACCACATTGTATTGAAAAACGAGATATGAAGAAATGAACTTATCAAACAAGAATCAGAAATATATATATATATATATATATATATATATATTTGTATTATGAGATCTAAAGAGTTGTGGTCAATTTTCTGACCTCAATGAAATAAATATAATCTCATGGCTTTTTAAGGGTTTGTGTTTTTTATTTTAATATTTATATATATATATATATATATATATATATATATATATATATATGAGTTATCAACATTCGTTTTAAAGTAATCAATCTTTTAGAATGTCTGGATACACTATCATTAGCAGTTCTAATATTTGAAATAAACTCATCAGTAAGTACTTGGAATTGAAGGGTTAGTTTCATTAACCTTACATTTTGAATTAAAAAAAAAAAAAAAAAAAATGAAGATAAGAATTAATTATAAGTTTGATGGGGTAGAGATACCTGATGGTATTCAAATTTTTTTCATGAATAAACTCTTATTTCATATTATTTTGTTTAATTTTTTTTTTTTTTTTTTTTTTTATTTTAATTTTAAAGGAAGGATTTGATCAACAGGAATGAACTGTTCAATCAGGCAGTAGCCAGATGGTCACTGTGAATCTTGAAATCATCATTGTACAAGAGGAAACACAAAATGTTCTAGTTGTTAGCAACCAGGAACTTGCAAGCAACCAGTATGTGATGGCACAAAATGGGGTATAAATTGCATCTTGTAAGATGCCATTAGAAGTAAACACAGTAGGCATCCCGAACATTACAACTACAGGATTTCATCAGAAAATTGTCCCATGTGTTAAGAGATCCTTAAATTCCTCCTTATAAAAATAAATTTATATTGTAATTATGATAAAGTATTTTTTCCTTTTTTATACATAGAATGTTTTCGTAACTTTTATGTGAATGATCAAAAATCTTTGTCAAGTTTTTTTGCAGCTTTTAGTAACAAATTTTTAAGAAGGTAACTATACCAACTATTTTTATTGTAATTAGTATTTTAAGAATGTGTAATTTCTGAAGTACTGTTTGACACTGTTATCATAACAATTTTATTTATTCCTGTGTGAGAGAAAGTAACATTTGTATGTTTTATTTGATCTTTTTCATTCCTTCTTCATTAACAAAAATGTTCCACAGATCATAAAATTGACTTTCTACATGAAATCTCTTTTTCATTTGATCTGTATTGATCAAATCTGTGTAACTAAGAAGAAACTTAACATGCCAGTTTATAACCACAATGAGTATACAGTAAATCATTTTATCAATTTTTGTATGCATATCAAATCATGGCTTTTGTTATTACAAACAATAACTTAGCAATAAAACAATTCTGGGTCTTTTTTTCTTTTTTTTATATTTCAACTGATAGCTGATACAATTCACAATAATTTGTTTTCCAAAAAACATTTTTTCTGATCATGAAACTATTATTATCCAATGAATTATTTGTCCTTGTGTCATCCATTTCAGTTGTTATTTTTAATCACATTTTCATCATTAATTCTTTGCCCTTCCTCTGGTGTAGGATGCACCCACTGCAATTACTGCATATTTCTATGTGAACATATATAATGATGACTGCTCCAAAAGTAATGATTTCTATTTATTCCCACAAAAAGTAACACATACAGAGAGAACCATAATACCATTGGATAGTACAAGTTTTCAGCTTAAAATCTATTTTTCCATATATTCACCACTATTAGCAATGCATTTTCATTAGCAGTTAACAAAAGCCTGCCTGCCACACTGATAAAGTTCTGCACCAGCAACAACAATCTACTTTTTCACACTTGTTGCTTTCATTACTGCTGAAACACTACCTAACTGTGCTCATATCCATTGTTTGGTCTTTGTTGGCACTCAGCAAGTATCACTGAATATCAATAGGTTTGATTAATTTTTTTTTTTTTTTCCATGTGGAGGAATTCAGTGATATGCCTCTACTTTGTACCAACTTTCATTCCGGATTACATTTTACCAAACAGCCACTAAGCTACTGTCTGTAATAAGGCTAAAACAGAATTATGGTTTATTAGAATGAAGGTCTGACCTTATATCTGTATCTGATGATATGGGCCAGCAGAAAAAATAAAATAAAATCTACATCAATTATATTTATTTATACTTTAAGATCAGATTTTGTTTTCCTCATTAATTTTTTTTTTATCCAATTTAAGCACTTATAACAAAATATATTTAAATAAAAACTGTATTGAAAATTAAAAATGTTTCAGTAAATTTGCACATAAACTCTATAAACTTTCTATTTAGAGTTGCTTTGAATTTAGTTTTTGCCCCAAATGCTTCTGCCTTTGAAAAGAACAATATTCGATGGATGCTGCAACCTGTTACTTTTCCTTTTAAAGCCTGATTGTCAGCCAATATTAATAAACATTAGGCATATTCTAATTAATGTTAGTATTGTAATTTTATCATAACAGTCTACCATACAACTAAAAGAGGTATTTGATTTTTTTTTTTTAATATAGGATTAACTATCCAGTTATAAGAAATTACTCTACAAAATATTTTCTTGTTTCTTTGTGATTAGTTTTCCAGTCAAAATGGATTCATTCTTGATAAACCTTTTAAAAAAAAATCATCTGAGATGCTTAAATTTTATCTTTTCATCTTTTTACTTCTTTGTCTAAAAAATGTAATTGTTTAATCAAGTGTTAAACTATCTTGTAAGCAGATTAGATTGTGAATCAACAGCTATTTAGAACTTTTTTTATATTACTGTTTACATAAACAATAGCAGTACCACAAAATTAACTTTTGACTAACAATTTTAAAACCTCATAACTTTTAAGAATTTTTTTTATTTCAGTTTTATTTTATTTTTGTTCTATTTAAAATGAAGAAAGTACTCTTATTAGGTTTTATGCATAAATTTTGTTTTTTGAAAAGTGTGACATTTTCTCTTCCAGCTTTCATGTTTGCTGCTATTGCACAGGGATTTAAGTTTTGTCTTGTCTTTGTTTTAGACCATGAATATTTCTTTGTCAACTCTGGATGTGTGGGTGATGTAATGAATAGCAACTCAGAATTCCAGTTGAATTTGTTACATTCACTTATGTGCAAGTAACCTTGGGAAAGGTATAAATCCATCTTTTCTTCCCCAGTTATGGGTTAAATAGCAGCACTTATACATGGAAAAATCATTCTCCCAAAAATTGTTAATGCAATATTTATTTGTAAAAAATAGAAAAAAAAAGTTTATTCTTATAATCCAAAATATGTTTCAGTTTAAATAACCCCCCACATAGGGTAGATAAACTGTAAAAAAAAAAAAAAAACCGAAAAAAAACAAAACCCGATCTTTATCAACCCAAAGTTTTGTTACTTAAATTTGTGAATAAAAAGAAATGGGTAATGAATTTCGAAGCATACAAGCTCTTCATTGAAAGATTGCTTCTTACCCTTCATTTCTCCAAAATTTGGCCTTTAAAAATATTCAATGCATCCACCAAAAAAAAAAAGTGTAAATACCAAATTTTTATATTTCAGAAATTGTTGAGGTGTTTTACAAATAGTTTTTCTTATTTTGCTTTTTTTAAGTCCAGTTTCTGTTAATAAAACAGTTTTTATACAACAGAAAATGGACACAGTAAGATTTCTTATTGATTCTGCTTAGTATTTTAACTCGGATTGCTATATCTAATGCCTATTGTAGGGGAGTTATAACTCTGAGTAAATAATTATAAAACCCTTTGACGTTTATATCTACAAAAATACTCATAAAAATGAGAAACAGCATTATGTAGAAACAGCAAAATGAATATCATTTATTATCTGGTTGTTATGTGGTGTTGGAGAAACAAGAGACAGTAATACTGAGTTAATTGTGAGTTGGGATCAAATGTACATCAAATATGGATCAGAATCTGACAGAAAGTGTATACAGTCTTTCTTGTATGTTTTGTTGTTTTTTTTTGTTTTTTTTTTATACATATGTGTAATGAGTGTCCAGATAATTGAATAATACAAGAAGTGTCTGGGGTTTTCTTACCTCAGAGTTTTGTTGAGTGCTAAAAGATAAATGTTACAATTATGACCTGAAGAGGAAACTAAATTTTTGTTGACACACACGTTAATGATCTGTCTGTGTGAACTGCTTGTCTGATAGTGAGAAAAGTGGGGCTGATTCTTGTTGGTTTAGGATGAGTGCATTAATTATAATTGTTATAATTATTTTTTGATGCTATAATTAATTTTTAATCATTTTTTTTTATGGGCACTACAACATTGTCATTCTTGATATGTTGTCCTTTTATTTATACCTGATACATGGATGTAAACTCAAACTGCAGACAAATATTTAACAGAAAAGTGCTTGGCTGTATTTCAGAGTGTGTTACATGAAGAGTATAAAATTTCTAATAACTATAAATGCTTAAAATATTTGATATTTGTTTTAAATTCTGTGTAATTTTGATCTTTCTCCATAAATTAGAAGTTAAATTTTATTTTGAATTTGTATCTACTTGCTAGGGATAGCATATCTTAATAATTTTTTTTTTTTTTTTTTTTTTTTTTTTTTTTTTGCCTGAAAATAATTAATAAAATGTGTTGTAATCATGTATCTGCTATAATTTGTTCATTTTTCCAAATTTTAATTTATGCTGATTTTTAAAGTTCACAAGCACTACACTCCCAGTCTCTTGTGTTGGACCAAAATAGACTTAGTACATAACACTTATCTCATTCTGCCTCTAGCTATCTATTGATTCACATATACTGGATGTTGCTGAAGGAGATACCAGATGCAACATGACAGCTGAAGAACACATTGGCTAAAAATTGTGTAGTAACAAAGAAAATGATGTAGATTTTTATGCTTGTGTTAGAGAATGACATTTAATCTTGAGTTTATTTTATTTTTTATTTTTATTTTGACTTTCATCTAATACAAGGGCCACTTAAGGTAGAGGGTTACTAGATGAGGTTGTTGCCAAGGAATCCAAGTAGAACTTGTCTGAAACATCATACCTGAGAGAGTGGCCTAGAAAAGCTCACTTATTTGGGAGGACTAAAGGACCTATTGGGGGGAAGCTAACAAAGGTTTCTTGGGGATGAGGCACCTCCAACATTTAGTTTCATTGATGATAAAACAATCACTTGCAATGCATATGCATTAAATTAGATACCTCCAATAATATGATAAAATTAGTATAGCGTAATGATAAAAGGTCCCAAACATAATAAAAACAAAGTTTCATTGTTAAAATGTTTATTATTAAGAGGAAAGAACAAAGTATTTTTAAATATTTTTTCTAACATGTTCTAAATTTGGGTTAAAAATCTTTTTTTTTTTTTTTTTTTTTTTTTTGTTAACTTTGTAATACTTGTGGTAATGGCCATTTTAGTGTAGCAGTTTCAGGAAACCCATTAATTTGGAAATTCTTGCAAAAATCAAATAATTGTCTGATTTTAATGAAGCTTTCAGGACATATTCAAAAATGAATGAATTCATTTTCAAAATTTTTATTTTTAAAAAAATCTTGGTAAAAATATTTTTTTTTTACATCTGTTACTCCCGTCA